CGGCGAATTGCCTCCCCGGGCGAACCCCCACAAGGCCGACGACGATGCAGGACCTTCGCGAAAGCGAACGCGCGAACAAGTAAAGCTTGCGCCTTGGAAGCGAAGGGTTCCTGTTTCGTCCGATTCCGACGCCGACGACGAGGACAACGTCGAAGATCGTGACGGCGAGGAGAAAGGGGAGGAAGAGGAGGAGGTTGAGGTCTTGGTCGAAAAGGCCGCGGACGAGACGGTCGAAAACCACGTCGACACCCCTGGCTATACTCCTACTCCAAGCCTGGGTCACAATGAGACTGGGGTGGAGTCGAACAGCTCCCCCCTTCGTCGAAAGGAGTTGGTTGGGGCGAAGGTGCTAATTGCGTTTTCGGCAGGCAAGGCAGCGAAGGGAGGTCCGGTCAAAAAGATTTCCAAGAAGAAAGGACTCGTCGATGTCGCTCGCGTCTTCAGCGACGACGAGTCTTTTGACGAGACTCCGACTTCTCCCACTGGCTGCAGCCTGGACCTTTCGACTGCCCCCGTTCTTTCACTTGGCGTTGATGGAGCAGGTGGTAGCGCCGCCGCCGGGGCTTCAGCCTCCGCGGAACGGATTGTGACAGCTGTGGTGAGGGTCTTCGGTAGCCCTCTGCGTCAGCCGGTTGTTTCGCCGCTAGTCAAGGCGAAGGGGAAGGGTGCAGCCGTCGAAACATCTACTTCGGAGTATTCCCTTGCGGCGCCCCATTTCGCCCCTGGCGATTTCGAGACCCGGGCAGACCTTATTCCCTTTGTGGAGGGAGTAAGCAATCTTGTCTTACCTGCTAGCACCCCGAGCCTATTCACCGAACTGAATGAGTTCGATGAGGGGTGTTCTGCTATTAAAAGCTTGGCGGTTCGGGTATGCTTTTCCTCTATTCTTGGTTTTCCTCTTCTTTTTTACATGTCCCATAATTAACATTTGCTCTCTTCGCCGTTCCTATTTTGCATCCAGATTCTTGCAGCTCACTGTTCGACAGAGCGAACCATGCGGGCTCGTCTTGACAGATTTAAGAACCGTCTTCGGGCCAAGGATGACGAAATAGGCCGCAAGAACTTGGAGATGGAGGCCCTCGCCAACACCCTGAAAGAGGCGAAAGCCGAAAACAAGCGGCTCCAATCCGAGTTGGAGAAAGGAAGAGAGGTTATGGCCGAGGTCGATCGCCTCAAGGCCGAACTGGAGAAAGGGAGAGAAGCCATAGCTGAGGTTGATCGCCTCCAGGCCGAATTAAGGAAAGAAAAGGCTCATTCCGCCGTGCTGATGGATTGTTATAACCTTACTGAGCCGAAGATGGAGGCTCTTCGCCTGGAGGTCAGCAAGGCCGAAGCGAGCGCTGTGGAGGAGTCGCAGCAGTTTTCGCGGGAGATGGCGAAAACTACCGAATCTGCAAGAACGGCGTGCCAAACGCTTCGCCTCGCCCTTACTGACATGGGTGCAAAAGTGCGAGGGGTCTCTGCCGAAGATGCCTCGGCCTTCGACTTCTTCGAGTGGACCCAGCAGGCTGGTGGTTCGGTTTCGGACTGCGCCACTGCATACGGCGATTGCTATGCACGTGTATCAGCGGCCTTTACTATGGGTCTCCTGCAACAGTTCGGCTGTGAGCACGTCGCCGAGTTCCCTAACTATGTGAAGGAAGGGGGACTGGGAGATTAGCGCGCAGGACATTTCGCCCGCACATCGTGCATGGCGGAAACAGTTCTGGTAGAAGGACAGCCGGTCCACCGCCAAGGCACGCCTTTTGGAGCAACTAGCGAAGGCAGAGGCGGCAGACTTTTGCGAAGAAGAGGACGCGGCGGCTGAAGGGGGTGGAGGTGATGCCCAGGATCACCCAGAGGTGTGAGGCCCTCCGCCCTTTCCTTAGATTTTTGTAGTTTTCCTTCTTTTTGTGTTCGCCAGGAGTGGCGAACGATGTGTATTCGGCTAGCTGCCGCTAACCCTCCTTATTGTAGCCGAAAAAGAGGCCCTTGGATATTTTGAATATATATGACTCACTCTTAGCCACTTTTTGATGGTCGAAGTCTTTGGCGTATTTATGAATACGCCCATTTCACATTATGCAATACTTTTTTCTTTTTTCGCCTATTCTTACTATGCAATTCGCCTTTTGCCCTTTTTGCACTGTCTACTAGGGTGTTCGCCGAAAGTTGTGTATTCGGCCCCCTTCTGGGAGTTTGCGAAACCAAAACGAGAAATTTGTGGCATTAAAGGATTTGCCAAAGGTGCGATGCCCATTTCGGCCTGTTTATCATGAAATGGTGATAAACGGACGCAGCTATAAGGTTTTTAAGGTTGCCGGGTGGCTTCGGGCACACCCTGGGTGAACCTTAGAAGACTATGATCTTGTTCATTCAAGACATTTGGAGGACATGGCTCGCTTTTGGCAAAATGTCACATCCTGATTTTTGTTTCAGGATTTATAAATTATTTAATAAATTATTATTAGAATTTATATTAAATGTTCATTAATTTACAAGTGAAGTTAAATGTGGGAAATAAAATTTCCTAAATATAAAACATGGATGGATTTAATTTTGATTAAATTCTCCATGATTAATTACACTCTCTGAAATTTTCTCAGATTTTTCGGAGCTCAATTCTTAATTTTTTAATCATACAAAGAGCATTTCAGTAATTACCCACATATTAAATTAATTATTAAATGGTCTGGTTTTAATATTGTTAAATACTTTGGGTGTCCAAGTATGTTCAAGATTTTTCTTGGAATTATTTGAGCATAGGAAGTATTTTTAACAATTCAAAGATCATTTCATTGATTAATTTAATTGGAAAAGTAATAATAATCCTCTTCCTAGTCTTGGGCCCTTTCCAGCCCATCTCCCTCTTTTGTCTGCACGGCCGTGCAGCCCAAGTCGGCCCAGCCGAGCTTCCCCCTTCTCTTTCTTTCTTTGCTTTGTTTTCAGCCAGCCCAAGACGAAAAGTCTATTTGCCTCCCTCGACACTGTTTATCTTCTACCTCTAGCAGCCGAACTGAGACCGATTTGGCTCGGTTTTTCTCCTCCAAATCTGACCTTTCCCCTTGTGTTTTTCTAAAATTAGTTGAGGGGAAATATTCCTCTTATCCTCCTCTATCTTTATCCCCAAAAATCGGAGCTAATCGTTGAGTATCTTATCCGAATCGAACTCGTTTTCGAGTTTATCTCCAAAACCGAGTTTTTGATTTCCCGGATCGATTTCTTGCGGGAGGAGTCCGATCTCTTCAATCCAAGGCTATAAATAGGACCCCCTAGTCCTCCTCTTTCGTTTGCCCCCTCTCCCGTGGTCTCCCGTGCCTCATAGCGCCGCCGCCACGTGCTCCACCCCGCCGTCGTCGCCGGCCGAGCTCCATCCGCGTCGCGCCGCCGCCTCCGTCGTCGTCGCCGGCCGTCGTCGTTCGTCGTTTGGTTCGAGGGTGAGTACCATTGGGTTCGTCTCGTCGTCCTCTACGTGTTCTTGTCCTCCAAAGTCGCAGCCGACCATCCAATCTCCGGCGAGGTCGCCATCTTGGTCCGGCCATTGATGAGGTCATCATCATGACGTCATCATCGTTTTTTTTCTTTTTCCTGTTTTTCTAATAGATTAAATCTTCGGAAATTCATAACTAAATCATCGTAACTCGGTTTTGAGTGGTTCAAGTTGCTAAATTCATCTAAAATCATGATCTACATGTTTGTTTACTTTATATGTACTGTTTATTTGGTTTTTATTAGTCTTTTTCTTGGTTTTGCGTGTTAGCTTGTCGTTTCCGTCGTTGCGAAGGTTCGTGAGTGCGTCAGGAGTGTTCAGAAGATTAATTGAAGACCGATTATTGCAAGGCAAGTCACACAGATCCTAAACACAATCCTTTGAGCATGTTGATCCTATATTTAAATTCTCTATTTATTTCAACTGTGCATTTATTTTCGAATGTCACCGGGTGGTGTGAACTTATTCCTTTGTTATGGCCAATTTGCATTGATTATTTTATTCCTGGATACCTTGGGTTATTATAACTTGACTAGTTGGGCTTTATATATTGGTTCAGCTAGATATTAGTTATGATTGCTTAGCCATGCTTAGAAACATTATCACACTATTGGGATAACTTATGACTCATTGTTTAATGATGGTTTAATGGTAGCTCACGATGGTTAATCGTGTTATGATAATTAATTGATAACTAAAACTTGACAATGGTGGGTTGTGAGCACATGGTTTTGAAGGTCGTGCTCATGACAATTAAGGACCGGTTCACGAGCTACTGTTGTGAAACATTAACCGTACCAACCACAAGCCAGCATGGGCAACGGCTTTACCTTCTGTATAGCATGATTCATTGCGGGGCACCAGACTGAGAAGCGGCGAGAAGTCCGTGGGGGTCGCTGGGGAGTCCATGCCTCTGGTTATATTTATAGAGGGGGTGATTATGATCCAGGAATGGTGCACTGTGGTGAGTTGTGTTGTGCAAAGGGTATTGTCACAGCCTCTATTCGGGTACTTTCCAGTATCGCGACGCATGGTAGACATGATGATGAGGCTGTGTCTTGTGGGTACAGTGGTACACCTCTGGCCAGAGTAAAACTATTCGAATAGCCGTGCCCGCGGTTATGGGCGGGTTGAGCAATGTTTTTCGTGATTAGTCTCACACCTCTCACAATAATTATGGATGTTATATCTGGTAATAATTTGCTTAGCTCCTAGTTTGGAGTTAGATCTGTACAGCCGGGTATGGTTGTTCAGGATGGTTGGGCCTGTGCAGCATGGGTGTGCTGTTCAGTGTTGATTAAAATTTCTGATTAATTACTCCACTGTTTTACTTCTCTTAAATGTTTTGCTAAATGCTGCTTTTGCAAATGAGCCTATATTATGCCATCCTTTGGTATCCTTGTGCACTTGCATATTTGCTGTGTGGCTTGTTGAGTATGTCATATGCTCATTCTTGCAATAATCAATCAACCTCAGTTGAAGAAAAAGGATCCAGAAGGAGAAGACGTTTGGCTTATACCCCAGTTGAGCTGCCTGTGGGAGTGGAGCCGGAGCTTCGCTAGATTTTATTTTCCGCTGCAGTTTTCTTCTTGGTGAGGACTAAGTGCCTCTTAAGTAAGTATTTATCGTTTTAGTTAATTTGATGAATCTGTATATTAAATTGTCAGTTTGTGTACCTCGGCTGATTTCTGGACGAGGATTTTATGCACAAATAAGTTCGGAAATTACTAGTGAATTTCCGGGCGTGACACAAAACCATCAGAAGACTGATCGGCAGGAGGTGATCTCCCAGCGTTGTTACAGTCTAGTCTGTATTTCGTCCCCTTCTCCTCTTAGGGTTGTGTATGATATTAGTAGTGATGACGAACCTAGTTCGCCCGATCACTCCTTAGAGAGAGAGAGATAGCGGGGGCTAAGATGTAATTTATCTGTAAGCCGGGCTATAACGCCATTGCTCCTTTCTCTTCATTTGTACCATTGTGATGTATTCTTCGACACATTTTTATTTAAAATCAATAAAGGTGCGTTTTATTTTCTTTTTGCTATTTTTGCATTGTCACTTCGCGTGCTTTTCGTTGGGTCGGAACGTGTCGACCCCTTTGTATATATTAGCGAAATAGGTTTTGACTTTTCAGCTTTCAGCTTCCGTTTTCGATCCGTTTTGTTCTACGTTACAAAAAGCACTCGTGCTTTCCTTTCGATCAAGTGTAACGGTGTTCGGCTAATTGTTCTCCGAAACAAGCTGTTGCGGTTTCAATCGTTCGGCGAGCAATGCTTCGGCCGATTCGTTTCACCCCCCTGCCTTTTTCGCTGATCAGGCGTTTGCCTTGGGGTTTTTCCGCAAATTATCAATCGCACAAACAAATAAAAAGAAGGCAGAGGACACAAATTTTATACTGGTTCGGGCCTCCGTGGTGGATAATAGCCCTACATCCAGTTTTTTTTTTGTCTTTTTTCATTTTCCTCTTTTTTTCCTTTTTTGTTCTCTTTTTTTTCTCTTTTTTTTTCTTGCCGAAAGGCTTACATAGTGCCGAAGGGCTTGCATAGTGTCGAAGGGCTTACATAACGATATATACATTTTTACAAGTTGGCGATTTGGGTGCCACCCGTTCTAGACATAGAAACGCTTGAGAGAGGCAGCGTTCCAGGAATGGTCGAACTCTTCGCCTTCCAGTGTCGCCAGTCGAAAGGATCCCGTCCTGGATTTGTACTTGATGAGGTACGGTCCTTCCCACTTCGATTCAAGCTTGCCAACGGCTATTGGGTTCGCTTTTTTCCTTAGGACAAGATGACCAGGCAACAACTCCGTCGGTCGAACTTTTTTGTTGTAAGTTGCCGAAGTGCCCGTGGCATACTTTTGCATGTGCTCGAGTGCTTTGACTCTTACCCCCTCCAAGAGTTCGAGCGACAACTCGCGCCCCTCTTCGCCCCCAGAGAACGTCACCCTTGGTGAGTTAGCCCCTAGCTCTGTTGGGGTCATTGCCTCATCGCCATAGAGAAGCATGAACGGGCTGAACTTGATTGGTCTTGTGGGGGTCGTCCGAAGGGCCTAGAGAACAGATAGCATTTCCTCTGGCCATTTGCCCTTCACTGCCCCCTCAAGCCTTTTCTTTAGTGCTTCTAGGATTTTACCATTTGTACGTTCGGCCGCTCCGTTTGACTGCCGGTGCGCGACCGATGCGAACCTGATTTCCAGGTTAAGCCCTTCGCACATTTCTCTGAACATGTCAGAGTCGAATTGCTTGCCGTTGTCAGTGATGAACTCTTTTGGCACTCCAAAACGGCAAACAATGTTTTTCCATACAAATTTCTGTACTGCTGCCGAAGTGATCGCACCAAGGGGTTCGGCCTCAATCCATCGAGAGAAGTATTCAACGGCCACAATTGCGAACTTGTGCCAGTTTTGCGCCACCGGGAACGGCCCAATAATGTCCAGTCCCCATCTAGCGAAGAGCCAAATTGGTGCGATGGGCTATAACTCATACTGGGGCGCGGTTTGGCTTCGGCCATGACGCTGGCAACTTTCGCACTTCTTGATTTGCTCAACACATACTTTCAACACAGTGGGCCAGTAAACTCCTTGTCTAAATACTTTGGAGGCAACTGTTCTTGCGGCTTGGTGCGCGCCCCATAGCCCCTGGTGTATTTCCTTCGCCATTTCCTCGCCTTCGGTGAAAGAAATACAACGAAGCAACGGTTGAAGTATCCCGGAGCGATAGAGCTGGCCCGAGACCATCTTATACTTCGTGGCTCTGAATTGCAAACGCTTTGCCTCTGCTTCGTCTACCGGAAGCCAGCCAGTTTCAAGGTGCTTCACAAACGGGGTTCGCCAGTCGTATGGGTCTTCGCCCAATTTGACCTGGTAGATTTCCAGGACCTCCAAGCTGTCCATGGGCACGCTTGGTGCATACAGGACCTCAAAAAGGATGCTAGGCGAATGTGGGCCACCACAAGCGGCAGATTTCGCCAGGGCGTCTACTTCCTCGTTCTGGCCTCTAGGTAAATGTTTGACCGTTATGCCGGTGAAGCACTTTTCCATAGACCGAACGGCATCCAAATACCTTTTCATCCCTTCTTTTGCCTCAAAAGACTTGTCGACATGGCCCACCACCAGCTTGGAGACGGTTCGGATTAGCAGGCGCCGAATCCCCAATGCTTTCGCCTTTCTTAGGCCCAAAAGAATGGCTTCGTATTCTGCCGCATTGTTGGTTGTGTCGAACTGTAGCCTTGCAGCATACCGAATTGGCACACCATTTGGCAAAGTGAGTACTGCCGCAACGCCCGCCCCCTTGTGCGACCACGAACCGTCGGAGTACATCACCCAGGGCTGTTCGATGGGCTCGGGTTCAGGGGCGAATGCTGGTGTCCATTCGGCCACAAAGTCGGCTAGCACTTGGGACTTGACAGCAGTGCGGGCAACAAAATGTAAGTCGAAAGGGGATAGCTCTGCTTCCCACTTGCTAAGCCGGCCAGTAACTTCTTTATCCCGTATTATTTCGCCCAAAGGGTACTGTGATGGCACTATGACTTTGTGGGCCTAAAAGTAATGCTTAAGCTTGCGTGAAGCCATCACCAGGGCGTAAGCGAGCTTTTCCATTTCAATGTATCTTGTCTTCGCTCCTTGCAATGCTTCGGAGACGACATAGACCGGTTTTTGGCCTGAATCTGTTTCTTGGACGAGAGCAGCACTGACTGCCATTGGCGAAGCTGCCAGGTATAGTAGCAGTTTGCTTCCTGATGCTGGGCTGATCAGAGCTGGCGGGCTTTGCAGGTATTGTTTTAGCTCGTCGAACGCTGCTTGGCATTCGGGAGTCCAGTTGAATTTTCCCGCACCCCGGAGGGTTTTGAAGAAGGGCAAACCTCTATCGGCTGCCTTTGAGAGGAATCAACTGAGTGCCGCAATTCGGCCCGCGAGCTTTTGTACTTCACATACGCTCGACGGAGGCTTCATTTGCTGAATGGTATCGATTTTCTTGGGATTCGCCTCGATGCCTCTTTCAGAAACAAGGAAACCCAACAGCTTGCCTGCGCGAACGCCGAAAACACACTTCTCGGGATTCAGTTTCATACCCGCTGCGCGCAAGTTGTCGAAGGTCTCCTGTAGGTCGGACGCGTGGTCGAAAGCCTTGCTGCTTTTTAGGACGATGTCGTCGACATAAGCTTCCACATTTCGCCCCAACTGCTTGTAAAGGACCTTGTACACCAGCCTGGCGAAGGTTGCTCCGGCATTCCTCAGACCGAAAGGCATCCTGAGGTGACAAAAGGTGCCGAATGGTGTGATGAAGGCTGTCTTGGGGATGTCGGCCGGGTTCATGCGAATCTGATGATAGCCGGAATATGCATCTAGGAAGCTCATGAGTTCGCAGTCGGCTGTCGAATCCACGAGCTGGTCGATCCGTGGCAAGAGGAAATCATCCTTCGGACATGCTTTGTTTAAGTCTGTGAAATCGACACACATGCGCCATTTGCCATTTGACTTCCGCACCAGCACTGGATTCGCCAGCCACTCAGGATGATCGATCTCTCGAATGACGCCTGCCTTGAGCAATTTTTGGACTTCGGCTTTTGCTGCCTCCTGGCGATCAGCGGGCATCTTGCGTAGCTTCTGTTTCCTTGGCTTGGCATCTGGCTTGACTGCCAGGTGATGCATGATGAGATCTTTAGGATGTTCTTAGCTTCTTCTTCGCCCATGTCGCCCCCCAGTGATACGAGCTTTGTGGGGTCGGCATCATCAATCTGCATCTTGACTATCTTGCCGTGAGGGACGGGCTTTGGCGCGTGCTTCGCCCGGTCATGCGGTTCGGCCTCAACATTATGCACTATTCTGTTGATTATGGCCAAATCACCTTTTGAAGCAGCCGAAGGCTGAAGCCCCTTGACCACGATCACTCCTGCCGGGCCGGGCATCTTAGCTTGAGATAATTATGATGGGAAATGGCTTCGAACTTGTTCAAGGTTGCATGGCCGAAGATGGCGTTGTAGTTGTATGGGATGTCGACAATGTCAAACAATACTTGCTCTTCGCGTCTGTTTTCCCCCGCGCCGAAGGCTACTATCAACTGTGCTTGGCCAAGAACTTGAACTGCTTCTCCGCCGAATCCTCGGAGCGATGTCGGTGCTAGGGTAAGGGCTTGGATAGTCAATCCCATCTTGGCATATGCTTCGGCAAAGATGACATCGGCCGAACTTCCTCCGTCGACCAGGATTCGCCGGACCTCGAAACCAGCTATCTCGGCTAAGATCACCAGAGGATCTTGATGCGGGAACATTACTCCTTCGGCATCTTCTGGCCCAAAAAAGATTTGCTGGTTCAGATACTGCGGAGCCCCTTCGCCTGTCGAAGTGATATTGTGGACCGTTCGCAACTGCATCTTCTTTTGTCGCTTCGACAGTTGGATCGGCGGGTCGGCCCTTGTAATCACTTGGATCACTCTGCGTTGCGCATCTTGGCGTTGTTCGGCTGGGGGTGCTTGTTCTTGAGCTACTTCACGAGTTGCTTCGGTCGCTGCTCCCTGCTGCGTCCTTGGATCTGGCGCATTGCCACGTTTCTGAATGTTTCGGCATTGCTCCGTGGTACACGAAGAGCGTCCGTGGAAGGCGCAGTAGAGGTTTTTTCGGACCTTCTTGCGGACAGGCTACTAATGGTTGCTTGCTTGCTGAGCGTTGAACTCTTTGCGGAGGGCTTGCACTTCTTCGACAGCCATCACAGCCTTGCCCGCACGGTCGGTTCTGAACTTCCTCCAGGTCATGGGGGCTTGACCTTGCCTTGGCGGTTGTGTTTGGATCGCCGGCTGGGGCTGGTGAACAACGAGAGGAGGTGGTTCGACAACTTGAAATTGTTGTTGGGTTTGAGCAGCGGCGACGGAAGTCTTATCGTACTCAGCTTGTATTGCTTGCCGTCGCTTGGAATCCTCTTCGCCCCTTGTGAACCCATCAATGATGCGAAGTAGGTGTTCAAGCGTTTGCGGCTCCTTGTTGGCGATTTTTCTTGAGAGTTCGCCCTCGAGTAAACCGGCCGAAGCGGCGTTTATGACTGATGCCTCAATTATGTCTTGAACTTGGCAGCGGGCTTGTGAGAAGCGACGCATGTACTCCCTTATCGACTCCTCCGGCCTCTAGCAAATTGAAATACCAAGAGCGTGCGATGCCGTCTAGGGTGAGATGTATTACCTTTGCCTTGGTATTTTCGTCGCCATGAGCCGCTTCGATCGCGGATTCATAAATGGAGAGGAATTCCTTTGGGTCAGTTTCGCCTAAGTAGCGTGGGACGGGTGGGAACTTGCACTGGGGTGGGATTGGACGGGTCTTGATTCCCCCACTCAGCGGTAGCCCCTTTTCGCCCCCTGCCCTGTTCACGGCACCTTGCTGCGGGTACGGCGTGGCGAAGGGCGAAATCACGGCTTGTGCGTGAGGTTGGGCCATGGCATCCGGCTGCCCGGCCCCGATTGGTGATGCTTGCTGAGCCGCCATGAATGGGTCGAAAGTTGGCTGTGACCATGTCATGGCGACCTGATTTGGTGCTTGGTTTGCTCTGAAGCCTGGCGTTGGTGCTTGCGGCCGAACGGTTGGCGCCTGAGCAGCATTGATAGAGTCGAACTGCGGTCCTTGACTTCACGGCGAAGCCCACAGACCTGGCTGATTCGAAGGCAACCAACTAGGCGCACCTTGACTTGTATTCCCCTCCGGGCGGGCCGAAGGGGCTGTACTTGAAATGTTGTGGGGTTGGCTGAGCTGCTGAAGGAAAGCTTGGAGCTGCGCCTGCAGAGCCGAAGCCCCTTCTGCCATTGTTGGTGGCACTTGGCCAGGCGGCTGAGGATGTACTTGGGCAGTGACCAGTTGAGCTTGCAGTTGCACGTGAGGGACCGGATACGCTGCTGCGGTCAATGGCTGCCCGGCAAAGTACATCGGCGCTTGCGCAACTTGTGGCGGAAGGGGCTGGGTCGGCACTTGTGGATAGACTTGGGGTGGGACATAGCCTGCTGAATACTGGAGGATTGGTGCCGAAGCGACCTTGGACCGCCTTGCCGCCTCGTACGCTTGCTGCTGTTCTTGCATTTGGCGAAGCATGTCTTGGAGTCGTGTCATGTTCTGTCGCATGGCTTCCATGTCGGCTTCGGTTTGTGTCTCGGGGTCAGGGTTGACTTGGGCTTGCACAGCGGCGAGCGCAGTTTGGGCCGCTGCCGGCTGCGACGGAGCAGCTTGGGGCACCAGTAGTTGGCTTGTCGAAAGGATCTCCGCCCTGGTCTGGAGTGCCCTCGTCGCCGCAGCCGCCCTCGCCATGTCAGCCGCGTTCGGCACCTGCACAGAGGTAGCAGGGGCCGAAGGCGGTAGTGATGGCGCAGGTGCGGAAGCAGATGACGCTCCTCCATCTTCGGCAACAGGCGCCGAAGGCTCTGCTCCCTCTTCGGCGGCCATATCCGCCCCTGTGTCGCTTTCCTTTCGCCTTGTAACCTTCTCCTTTACGACCTTCTTCGGTGGCATTCGCTCTTAGTGGTTTCGCTCGGAGGTCCCCACGGTCAGCGCCAGCTGTTGTCGAAACGCAATTGCATACGTCGAAAGACGTGGTTACTCAACAGTGGTTGAAAGAGCAGGGCTGTAAATGGAGGTTTCATGCCTCTACAAGTAAGAAATACTATGGCTACAAGGTAAATTTGTGCTGAAATGTTCAGTTAATTATTTTATCATTTCATGGTTAAATTTGATGCATAAAAAGCTGATAATTACATTGTTATATGTGCAGGTCAAGGTAAATAGGCCTGCCCACAGTTGTTGTTCCATAAATAAGACTGGGGCTGCCATGGCAACAAATAGCTGGGTTGCTGAAAGAGTTATAGATTGGCTGAAGGAGATTCCAACTCTAGGAGCTAGTGCATTGAAGGTCAAGCTAGAGAAGAAGTACAAATTTACAATAGGATATGACAAAGTTTTTAGAGGCAAAGAGAAGGCCCTTGAGAAGATATTTGGGAAGTGGGAAGACAGCTTTGCATTGCTGCCCACTTTTAGAGAGGAGCTTTTGAAGGCACAACCTGGAAGTATTGTCGATATTGATACCGAGATTCATGAAGACCAAGTATGCTTCAGGCGGCTGTTCATAGCTCTAAAACCTTGCATTGATGGATTCCTACAAGGTTGTAGGCCATATATTGCAATGGACTCAACACACTTGACAGGGAAGCATAGAGGACAGCTGGCAGCTGCTGTTGCAATAGATGGAAACAACTGGCTTTTTCCTGTTGCATTTGGTGTGATAGAAGCTAAGACGACGGAGAGGTGGACATGGTTCGTGCAGAACTTGAAGAATGCTATTGGTAATCCTCCTGGGCTAGCCATCAGCACAGATGCTGGGAAAGGACTAGAGAGAGCTGTTAGTGATGTCTATCCAACTGCTGAGCACCGGGAGTGCATGCGACACCTGTGGAAGAACTTCAAGAAGCAGTACCATGGACCACTTTTTGGTGAAAACATGTGGCATGCTGCTAAGTGCTACACCAGCCAGCAGTACAACTATCACATGAACAAGATTGCTGAGAAATCTCCTGAAGCTATTGCATATTTAAAAACCAATCACCCATTTTTTTGGAGTAGGAGCAAATTCTCAGAGCTTTCAAAGGTGGACTACATCAACAACAATCTTTCTGAGTCATTCAACAATTGGGTGATGAAGATCAAGGAATTACACATAGTGGACTTATTTGACACACTTAGGCAAATGATAATTGACAAATTTCACTTGAGCCAACTTGCAAGCAAAATGGAAGGAAGAATAATTCCATCTATTATTAAGACACTGAATGAACAGAGCAAGAATCTAAAAGATTACAATGTGGTAAGGAGTAATTGCGATGATTTAGCTGAAGTTTCTATGGTGTCCAACAAGGGAGTGGTATGGAGGCATGCAGTGAACCTGAAGGCTCATACATGCTCTTGTAGAGCCTGGCAAGTAAGTGGGAAACCTTGTAACCATGCATTGGCATTCATAGGCTCTCTAAGGTTTTCTGACATGAATGGCTATGTGGATGAGTGTTATTCAGTGCAAAGATTGAGGCAAACATATGCTGGGATATGGAACCCAATGACATCAAAGAATATGTGGACATTTGTAGATCCTGGTTTCAAATTGATGAGGCCAAAGTTGAGGAGAAAGCCTGGAAGGCCTAGGACACATAGGATTAAAGCTTCAGATGAGCCTGGCTGTAGAAAGAAGAGGACATGCCCTGAATGTGGTGACAAAGGCCACTTTGCAAAGACATGTCAGGGAGGACCTATAGCTAGCAAAAGTTACTTGTCATCCATTTTTTTCCCTTTCATTTGTAAATTGGCTGCTCACTCTAGATTTTATACAGGAAAAGGTCATCTTCATCAACACCATCCTCAGATCAAGGAAGCAATACTCCTGGTGCAGCACCTAGGTCAAAGAAAAAATTACTACTGGATCATCCATGTAATTAGTATTTCTTACTAGTTAATTCCATCCTCATTTGCAATCTATTTGCATCTTGTATTCAGATTTAGGTACTAACTTATAGAATTGTTGTTACAGTGGCAATGCAAATGATGTGTCAACAAGACCACCAAGAGCAAGAGAGAAGGGGAAGGAGAAGAAAGGTTTTGTTGCGGCATCCATTTGATGCGGTTGTCTTTTGGGAAGGTTCTAATGGTCTGGACCATGTTGTCCTATCAAATTGATATGATGTAGAACACTGCTATCAGATGTAGTTGTCTTTTGGATGTGAGGATGAATCATATGATGTAAACCTCTAACTGTGTTGGTTGAATTAGTCATATGTAGTTGTCTTTTGGATGTGAGGATGAATCATATGATGTGAACCTCAACTATTGTCATTTAATTTGTTTATGTTACTGTGTTCATGCCAGAATGACGCTAGTTGACTATGTTCTCTTGCTTGTTGTCTCAAATGGTGTTTTATTGATGCCAAAATGCTGTCAATATTACAATTTCATGGGCAGGGGCATTCTTGTCCTAATTTTCATGAAAATCAGCCATATAACGGTGTTAGTCTAAGCTGTGAGTCCAGTGGCAGTTATGTTGGGTTCAAAGTTCAAACTGTTTTTAATGGCAAATTTGCAATTACATTTTTTTATGGGTAGATCCACAATACCTGTTCAATCCAGTGGCAAATATGCAATTGACCCCTTTTGTTAACACCACTCCTTGACGTAGATACCAAAAAAGATATTTACTTTAAGAGGCATTTTAAACTTTCAAATAGTTTTGTTAATATTGGGAGCTTTCGTATGAGCCAAAGCAAGATAATGAGATTTAATCGAGAATCTTTCATCTAGTGTTAAATTATATTTAAAATCATCTTGCTCACGTGACAAAACTATATTATAGGATCTTGTCTTCAAGATTTTGAAAATCTCGGCATTCGCCCACTCCTCGTGACCATTGCTGCTTGGGTGAGTAGAGTAAGCAAAGCAGAGCAGCTTGATCCCGAGGTCAGGTCCCGGCAATATTTGCTAAACAAGGAAATGGTGGATTGCACCCCTTTGTTAGTGATTATTCGATTCGGGCCACCAAAACGACATGTGATGCCGTGGATGAACTTGACCGTGCCGTGTACTGCTTATAACTTTAATGCTCCGAATTACCTTGAACCACTTTGATGAACTTGTTGATGGCGACCTAGAGGTGTTCGTATCCTTCATCTGCTCATTGAAGAGCCCAAGGATATCCAGTTCTCAGATTGCAAACAACCATTTTGTTGCAAAATAATTAGGCAATAAATACGTGCACGTGTTAAGTTAAGTTTAGTAAGATAATAATAGTCTCATGATAATACAGATCGTTGGAAGTTAGATCGTAAAGAATTCATAGATGTGTTTCTGGGACTCAGATATGGAATATAAATGAATTTTCATTTAATTGCATCAACCTGAATTTATAATCAGCCTCAAATATTCGGAATTCATATTGGGCGGGTGAATCGCTACTCCATCCACCCAGCGATCACCCCCCCCCTTCTCTCTCCTATACTATATACTCCTCCCTCCTCTCCCCCTTCCTCCTACCCTTCTTCTCTTTCTACTACAGTACACCCCACAAATTTTTTTAAAAAACAAAAGTTAGAAAAATTTATGTATAAAAATACTATATATAAAAAATTTGAATTCAAATTCAAATTTGAATCGGGTATGTAAACTTTTGACTTGTAAACTTTGTATCTATAAATTTTAGGTGTATAAACTTTAGATGTATAGAAATACTATATATAGAAAATATTTGGATTCAAATTCAATTTGAATATAATTCAAATTCAATTTGAATATAATTCAAATTTAAATTTGAATCGGGTATATAAACTTTAGGTCTATAAACTTTAGATGTATAGAAATACTATATATGAAAAATATTTGAATTCAAATTCAAATTTGAATCGGATATTTGAATTCAAATTCAAATTTAAATCGGATATAATTCAAATTTAAATTTGAATCGGATATATAAACTTTTGACTTATAAACTTTAGGTATATAAACTTTAGGTGTATAAACTTTAGATGTATAGAAATACTATATAAAAAAATATTTGAATTCAAATTCAAATTTGAATCGGATATATAAACTTTTGACTTATAAACTTTTGGTCTCTAAACTTTAGATGTGTAAATTTGAGGTGTATAAACTTTAGATGCATAAATTTATTAAAATAGGAAAGTAATGCGGTGCCAAAAAAAAAACCAGGTGGAGGGAGGGAGGGGGGCTACAGGTATGGCGATCGATCGCCCATTAGAACTACCCTCGAATATTACTCCTACATCAAGTGGCAAAAAAAGGTTACTGACAAAAGCAAAGTCGCTGGGAATTACTCCTCTACGGCACTACCCCTATATGGCGGCCGCCTCCCTCCGGCTGGCCACCTAGCTATCAATTTCCACCGCCGCGTCGCCGCCCACTAACCGCTGACCATCACACTGCGGCGGCGGTGGCGGCGGCGACGGCGACGGTGCAGGCTGCAGCAGCTGCTCCGTCGCCGGCAGCATCACGGCTTCTAGTGGATAGGTGCGCGTGTGGGCCTTAGTCGCCTTCTTGACGGCGATGGCGAGGACGGCCAGGAAGGCGATCGGCAGCGCCATGATCAACGTTCACCGGCAGGCCGCTATCGATCGATCTATCGGTCGAATTCTCCGGCGGTGGTCGTGAGCGCGGGCATGGTGAGTTAGTTGGTTACCGGCGTGGTGGAAGATATAGAGGCCGGCCGGCGTGATGGAGTCCGGCTCGGAGTTGGCAGGCACAGCCACGTACACTTCGATTTGCTGCGTACTCGCATCGGCATCGGAGTAACGACGAGGAATCCAGTAATCCGAGTCCGTGAAAGAAAGCAGTGGATTTTTGTTCTTGTGCTGTTATAGTTAATTTGTAAAAATATTTGTATTTTGAAACCTTTCATAAATCCGTTGTAGTCTAGCTGGTTAGGATACTCGGCTCTCACCCGAGAGACCCGGGTTCGAGTCCCGGCAACGGAAATTTTTTTATGTTGTTTTGTTTTTCCATAAGTACTAAAACTGTAGAAGTGCCCGGCTGCTGGACATTGGCCATCGGTCCACGGAAATGGCTAATCAGCGATCGCTCGCGTGCGGGAGCATCACGCGATCAGTGCAAATCCATTTTTCGGCCCACTTGAGTGCTGAGAATGCTTAGTTGCTTTATTGCTCAAGATTTTTACACAGCTGATGTTAGCGATTGTTTAGACCTTTATTTATGTATAAAAATACTATATATAAAAAATATTTGAATTTAAATTCAAATTTGAAACGGGTATGTGAACTTTTGACTTATAAACTTTGGGTCTATAAACTAATATTTGAATTCAAATTCAAATTTGAATCGGGTATGCAAACTTTTGACTTATAAACTTTGGATCTATAAACTTTAGAGGTATAGAAATACTATATATAAAAAAATATTTGAATACAAATTCAAATTTGAATCGGGTATGTAAACTTTTGATTTATAAACTTTGGGTGTATAAACTTTAGATGTATAGAAATACTATATATAAAAAATATTTGAATTCAAATTTAAATTTGAGTCGAATATATAAACTTTTGATTTATAAATTTTAGATCTCTCAACTTCAGATGTGTAAATTTGAGGTGTACAAACTTTAGGTGTATAAATTTACTAAAATAGGAAAGTAATGCGGTGCCAAAAAAGGAAACCATGTGGGGGAGAGGAGAGGAGAGGAGAGGGGAGGGGAGGGGAATGTGGGGGAGAGGAGAGGAGAGGGGAGGGGAGGGGAGGCGGAAAAGCTAATGAGCGATTGATTACTAGGGGTCGCTAGGGGCAATCAGATTCCGATTCCCTCCCTTCACCTGGTTTCCTTTTTTTGGCACCGCATTACTTTCCTATTTTAGTAAATTTATGCACCTAAAGTTTGTACACCTCAAGTTTACACATCTCCACAATTGTTTTAAAAAAACAAAAAGTTAGAAAAATTTATGTATAGAAATACTATAAAAAAATTTGAATTCAAATTCAAATTTGAATCGAGTATGTAAAGTTTTGACTTATAAACTTTGGGTCTATAAACTTTAGGTTTATATACTTTAGATGTATAGAAATACTATATATAGAAAATATTTGAATTCAAATTCAAATTTGAATCGGATATAATTCAAATTCAAATTTGAAACGGGTCTATAAACTTGAGGTGTATAAACTTTAGATGTATAGAAATAATATATATAGAAAATATTTGAATTCAAATTTAAATTTGAATCGGATATAACTCAAATTCAAATTTGAAATGGGTATATAAACTTTATGTCTATAAATTTTAGGTGTATAAACTTTAGATGTATAGAAATACTATATATAAAAAATATATGAATTCAAATTCAAATTTGAATCGGATATAAAAACTTTTGACTTATGAACTTTTGGTCTATAAACTTTAGATGTGTAAACTTGAGGTGTATAAACTTTAGGTGCATAAATTTACTAAAATAGAAAAGTAATGCGGTGCCAAAAAAGAAAACCAGGTGGAGGGAGAGAGGGGGAAGGGGGATCGATCGCTACCCCCATCGTCAGGCGATCGATCGCCCATTAGGCGTACCTGAGGAGGGGTAGGGGGGGCGACCTGATTGTGGGTCACAAGATCTCGCGATCAATCGCGAACTAGGTCAACCCTCTATCCACATGGGAGTATAGTAGTGCACGAGACATCAATAGCAATTAGTACCTTGATCATATTTTTTTTCTACCTTGCCCATTTGAGTGACATCCAGGCTTTTACAAAGAAAGTCGGTGACATCTTTTCTTTTCTTTTTTTTTATCTGAAGTCGGTGATATTTTAGTTTGTCTTGATGGTGGAGGCATAGAACTGAAAAAGAAAACGCTCAAGTCGTTCATTTCAGCTATACTTCACCCCCACTCAATTATACCGCGTTTATAAGATATAAGGGTGTGGTCAATTCATTTAAAGAAAAGATACAAGGATGTGGTTAACTCGAGATGAGCATCCAAGAGTAAGCCGGTCTAACATCCCATTAACTCGAAAGAGCTAATTGGCGACCTGTTGCGCGCGCTCTCCCTCGTGCGACTGAACATGTGTCGCGTGCGGAGGGGGGCGGCGGACTGCGCCCGCGCTCTTTTTCGGTTTTTCTGTTTTGGTTTTTTTTCTCTTCCGTTTTTTCGGTTCTTTTTCTGTTTTGGTTTATTTTCGGTTTCTCTTCCCTTTTTTTTGGGTTCCTTTCTGTTTTGGTTTTTCCCTTTTTTCTCTCTTTCTTTTTTCGGTTTTTTAAGATGTACGTATGCAAAGTTTATATTTGTATGTATACTAAATTTTATATTTGTACACATACAAAGTTTGTATTCGTGTTTTTTTCTCTTAGTTTTTAATATATACCTATACAAAGTTTGTATACGCGTATTCAAAGTTTGTATACACGTATACAAAATTTATATACATGTATATTTTTATATAAAATTATATATACGTATATATATACTCTGTATACACATGTATAAACTTTATATTTTATCAGTACAAAGTTTATATATGTGTATACAAAGTATATATACACATAATAGTATTGTTGTAGTAGTACTACTAGTGTAGCAGCAGCAGCAGCAGCGCGCTAGTAGTAGTAGCAGGAGCAGAGCAGCAGCAGTAGTAGGAGCAGTAGGAGTAGGAGTAGTGCTACTACTAAAAGAGCAGTAGCAGCAGCAGCAGTAGAGACGGACTGGTCGCGCGCCCACGCTCCCGCACAACCAGTCACTCATTAGGGGCGGCCCCATTAACTCTCCCTATAACACAACCAAACTATTCTTTGTAAGAAATTTGATTCATAAATATGTGGCAATCACAGATATCTGAGACATCCCAGTAAACATATAGCCATATAAATGGTGACAGAAAAACATGCCGATTATTACATGTTTCCATACGGAAACTTTCTGCTCGCAAGAATCTAATGCATACATCTGTTTTGAAGAATACAATCTAATGCATACATTTACAGGCTCTCTCTTTCCAGGGTATATTCCCAATCCCACACAAGTCAAAAACATTCTCAAGTTTCAAGTACATCGAGCATCATTTTTCAAGAGCCATCAAGCATCATAGATTGGACTAAAGTTCCTCGAATCCGTCTTCATCGGCATCATCCTCTATTCTTTCAAAATGCATCCGGAAGCTCTCCATCTATCAAGCCAGAGATCAAATAAACAAAATTGCACTATAAGATCTCAACTAATTGAGGGTTCATGGCTATATGATTAACAATGGGGCGCATCAACAAATATGAGCAACTGTGGACTAGCAAATGATAATTGTTTTAGTAAATCATACACCAGAGGTATCTTTCTCTGAAGGACATTAATAAGACTCCAACACCAATAACAACTGATTACCTTAAATTTAAGGTGTAGTAATAGATAAATTACTTGCAAAACTCTCATGGGAAAATTGTAAGTAATGAAGGACCTCGATGAACAAAATCAGACAGTTGAGAGGCTCATATCAACAAAACCAAATGTAGAAGGCTAAACGTTACATATGAACAGTTGAAGCTTTAAAGGGCTTACATCAAAAGATTTTGACTTTGGGCAATTTATTATAAGTGAAATAGTTGGGTGCTTACACATTAGTTTTGGCAAAAGAAGAAAAATAAAATCATACATGTACTGTCAGTAGAATATTACCAATATGCACTGAATCAATTAAGGTGTGCTTTTAACAGCTAGATTTTCTTTATATAAACCTGGAAAGTTTCTTCAATATGTAACTTGACAATTTATTCAGAACAAAATTAAATTAAGGGTTACAAAAAAAGCTAAGAGTACTCTATAAGTGATGAAAATAACAAATGCAGATGTTCCTACCTCCTACATAACATGGGAAAGGTGATTGGTTGGCTGATTTGCAATTTCTGAGTCAAAGTTTTGTATGGATGTTTCATGAAGTTCACCGCTCTAACTCGTGTGTCATGTTTTTCTTCATGAGGGCCCACCAACCTCGTTTTCCGAAAAGAAAAAGGAAAGGAAAAGAACAAACTGATATCTTGGCTCTTCAATCTCTCAAGATATTGCAATCAAAAGGTTATGGGCAATTTCCAGATGTGAGAGTGATATTTTTTTAGAGCTCACGCCAACCCCCAGAATCATTGAAGTTAGAATCCATGTCGAAGGAATAGAGTTGGTTTCATTACCTGAGCATCTGAGAAACGCAGCTGTTCTGCAATAAAAATAGCTCTACCATGTATTTCCGGTGGAGAGTCTAGACCTAAGCCAACATCCTTTGCCACTTCTTCATAGTGAACAAAGCTGACACGAAAACCCTGAGTAAAGAAAAGGTTTTCCAGCCTGTCTTGCTCTGAGGCCTGTGCAATGTAGAAGGGAACTGTTACTTGATGAGCCAAATTAAAATAATATATGCAAATTTTCTAGTATGTACTTAGCCAACCATGTCTGTTGCTGCTCCCCACTGCGTAAAACGTGGCACCTCCCCTATAAAGATACTCCCTTTCATTGCTAAATTGCCAATGACAAGCAAAAGGTCCTCCAAGCTTTTAAAAGTGAACAAAGGTAAACCCTGCAATGCCAGAACAAATTCATGACACAAAAATACAAAATGCAGTTAGCTTTCCTATTTGAGTGATGCCATAAGGACTTGGATGTACTCAAATGGATGGCAAAAAATAACATCAGTGCACATTTTAGTGTCAGCATACAAAACCAGGTAGCTAGTCAAGCTAAAGCAAATAAAACTCCATCAAGCCATAGGAGAAAAAAAAAATTATCGTCTACTCTAGAGAGATATATAGCACAGACCCCCTTTGCACTCTTCCACTCACATTTCCTCTCTTGCAGATCAAATTTATCAATGACATGCGCTGCATAATCTACCAAAAGAGTGTGGAATTTCCCCCATCCATAACAATAACATATATTTATCCATCATCATGTTAAATCATTCAAATGCAATATCACTTTATGACCTACTCATCCCATCATCTGATTAGTTTCATGTGTACAATGCAAAATAAGTTATAAACCATGAAACATTAATATTGGCCTACTTCAAATACTGTCCACTAGCTGGTGCCAATAAGCTCATGAACACCAGGTATCATAAGAGGTACTGGAATTGCCCTCTCAGCAGAGCTAAGGGTTCTGTAGTTGCTGTTAAAATAGCTAATTGTGAATATACATAGCAAGTCAGTAAACACCAGGTTTAACAAAACCATACTTTCAGAAAATTCTCCAACCTTGGCATGATACCTCACTAATTAAAACCAGAACCAAGAGACAAAACCAGATAGGGGCAGTTTCCAGTTCTTCCTAAAATACTCAGGAAGACCTGCTCATTTTGCCTGTTGAAATATTGTTTTTCTTTTGCAAGAATGCTGCTTTCTGGTTAATTTCCAATCTAACATATTAGTACCTTTTTCCTATGTTTCTGAAAACCTAACATTTCACCCTGCTGTGTGGATATTCAGTGTAAAACAACAGAGAAATAACTCGATTCCAGAACTTACTGCAGCACCCTGAGCCAACCCTAAAACAAGACACTACACAGTTCCTACCAGTTTGCAACCATTTCTGAACACATGGATGCAATGGCTGGTATGAACATGTAGAAAGTGATAATTTTGCATAATATGTCACAACCAATATGCTGGTGATTTACATATTAACGGGAGCACCAGGAGTTTTTAAGTTAGGTGCATATGTAAGTGTTGCTTTGCATAAAAAGAGTGCCCTTTATTGGTTTTGAGGATTTGTGCTAGCACATAATCCTTAAATCTAAAAACACATCAATTGATTTAATTCTTGTAAGTTGATTTTGCTTATTTGATCAATAACACTTGAAAAAAAAAACAAATGTAGCTCCACTGCCCTGCTGCAGCATTATTGCACTAGAGCTACCAATGTTAAGTGTATTTTTGTTTTATATTTATTCTAGCCTAGGGTTTGGGTATGTCCTTGAGTCCTTGTACTCCAAAACCTAGACTAGAGTGCAGTATTTGATTAATTGCAAAGGGGAATATAACAATAAATTTAATGATTAGTATCGAAATTTTGTGCGGAAGGACATAGTGGAGTAAGTTACCTGCAGTACCCACAAGCTCGGCCTATTCCCATTGAAGCCATTTTTATTCAAGCCCGCTTGCAAGTCAGGAGACTCTGAAGAAGTATGAAGTACAACACAGTTCCGTGATATTTTTGCTCCGGCTCCTATCATATCACAAGATTTTTTTTTTTTAAAAAAGAAAAGGTTAGCTAACTACATACGTGTTTGCTACGGATGAAAATGAATCATACATATTTTATCTATAATACTATTGAAACGAAATAAATGATGATTCTTGCATCAAACATGTCCTTCACTTTTTTGAGTTACAAGAATCATTCCAAAGTATATTAAATTTTGATTTTTTTAGAAGAAAGAAGCATATAGAAGGTCTACTATGTAACAACCAAAGAAATTCAGAGAGCAACTCATAAAAGTACAGTGTGCAGGTTGTGTGTTGGCAGATTCACTAACACCATTACCTTGTTTTCAAAGAAGTATAGATGTACATCAAAAACTCATGTACATCTATACTTCTTTTTTCATTAAAAAAGAAGTATAGATGTACATGAGTTTGTGGCAACCCTTGAATCATCAGATTTCTTTTGAGAAATGTAAAAGATAGATAGCATGGGGGGCTCTAATTGCTATATCATTGCTATTGTAATGTGCTTATACAGCTTGGCCAGCCAGGTGACACACACAGTAGCAGATGTTCCCACAGAACTTGAACAAACAACGGCTGGCTGAGTAACATAGAGGATAAGTTACTTATCTTGGTTCACCCACCCAAAAGGGAAAAAAAAAAAACAAGAGTTTATTATCATGGTTGGCAGCAGAGTACCCTTAACTTTAAGTTAGGACTAAATCTTCAGAACATGTAAAGCTTAGTTTGAGTTGTTAGGGCCAGCCCAATACAAGGCAAACCGAAGATTTATTGGAGACAAGCAATGAATAAAAATTATGTTTTTTTCCAATGCCCCTCTCCCTCCTTTATGTCTCTCCCCCTATGATCAGATCACCAGATGTTGCATATTTCTCCCATGCTAAGGTTTCATACAGCTATTATCCATTTATCCTCCTCTGTACAAAATACACATGGAGCAGTAGAGAAGAATAAAAGATAAATGAATCAAGGATAAATATTGCCTTTAATCTCAATTGAGAGATCTTGCTGTTTCAGATTTCTGGATAGTCAGAACTCGCATGTTAGTCCCTCAAAAGAAAAAGGACTTGCATCTTACAAATGACAGTCGAAAATGCACCAGTTCCTTAAAAACAATTTGTGATAGCATAAAACATGACTATACCTCTGAGTTGCTGTGATGCAGTAATGAAGACTCTTCTAGGTGATACATCATACACAACAGACAACCTTGGCCAGCTTAGCCTGTAAGGACGAGTGTCCATTCCATCTGTCAACAGAACAATCTATTAGGAATAAGCCAGCAAATTCTCCACAGATTATGCGGACAGATTCATCGTAACAAGTTAAATTTCAGTACCTGTCTAAGATCATCTGAATTGCTTATGAAATGTTGCAATTTGTCATCAATATATCTGGTCACTAGCCTATAATGTTCTGCACTTGGCATTAAATGTAAAGCTAGAAGATCTTTATCTTCACTTGCCACATCAAGTGAAAGTAGAACAGCTGCATATGGGTCAATAAAAAGAGGATCTGCAACAAAAATAATACTGAGAAACATTAGAATTTTGATATACAATCATATATAGCCATGTGTGGCCTTCTCCTAAAAAATCAGATGATACTCTACAGGGATTATCATCTGAATTCTGAACTTTGCGAAGAAAGAGCAATTCATGATTCAAAGTTCTAAACAACTGCGTTAAATCTGTCTCATGTGGGACTGAGACAAAACTCTGTTCTAGTTAATTCAGAAAAATAAATGAACAAGCAACTAAAGCACGTCACTGTAAAAACATGTAATTTGCATAAAAAGTTTGTATATGGTGCTGAAATAGTACTAATGTCATACTTTAATAAATAAAGATTTCCAATATTAGGTAATCAATATGCACATTGCTGTTGGTTTTTTTTTAAAAAAAGTGCACGCTGCTTAAGATTGGCAGACTTGAAAACAGGTGTTACCAAATAATTTACAACAACTAATCTATAAGCACATTGCTGTTGAAATTATGACTTTGCATGCGCCGCCGGGGGGGGGGGGTAACAAAACCATTCCCCTCAATTCGTCGAACAGGTAGCGCGCACTGCCAGTTCCGACGGAATCGGCGGCACAAGCAAAAGATGAGCAGCAGCAAAGCCAGCAACACAAAAGATGCACCCCCCATCGCTGACCTGGGCGGCGGGACTCCTCGTCGCGGAATCGTGCGGCCCGGAGCGCGCCGTCGAGGAGCGTGTCGCGCTCCTCCTCGGGCTCAGGGAGCGAACCCCCGAGGGGGGTGTCAGCGGCGGTGGCGAATGGCCCCCGCGGCGGGAGCCCGCTCTTCGCGCAGTTGCTCCAGGGAGGGAAGGAAGAGGCCGGCAGTCGGAGCAGGGCACGCGGAGTAGCGGGGAGCGGCGGCGACCGGCGCACGGGCGTCGTCGCCGCCGCCGCGAGCCATGGCAGGACGGGCATGTGTGTGGACAGTTGCTCTCCATCGGTGTTTCGCTGCCTTCCCCTCTATCCAGTATGCGCGATGTTTACGCCTCCGTGAAGGGGAAACGTACTTCTGTGCTTTGTAAAGGCGCATTTTACTACAACGTGTATAAGCGGAGGGGCACATACCATGAAAGTTTATTCGAACATCACAGGTATCAAAACGTGTAAGCTCAAGAACTTTACTAGTACTACTCTCTGTCCGGTCATCAAAACGCGATGTTTTTAACATTAAAATTTGAAACAAGACCAAAACCACTATTTACTACTCCCTCCGTCCCAAAATATAGCAATATTGTATCGTGTAAAATATCACACGATACAATGTTGCTATATTTTGGGATGGAGGGAGTACTCTTGGTACTACTTAGAAATTTCGATAGATGATGACACGGTGATGTACGGTAACGGTTTATTAGGTTGGGAGGAATTCACCCAATAAGAATACAAAATATAAAGGTCCTAAAAATTAATAAGATCCTCAGAAAACAGTTACCTGATCAATGGGGGCATTGCCAAGTGCCAACCAAGATATTTTAGTACACCGAAATAAATATAATTCATACGGAAAATAGTTTTCAAAATATGGATGAAACTATTTTTTATCGAACAACTATTACAATAGTTTCTATATGCCTAATTTGATTAGGTTTCAAAAACTCCATACTACTCCTTCCGCCCCAAAAGAAAAAAAAACCTAGAATTAGATGTGGTGTAGTCTAGTACAATGAATCTGAACAATCTCCTATCCAGATTTATTGTTTTAGGATATGTTACATCCAATTCTAGATGTGTACTCCCTCCGTCCTAAAATATAAGCATTTTTAGCATAGTGTTAAGTCGATCATTTTTAACTTTGACTATTAATAACAAAAAAAAATAAAAAGATCAATTATGTAAAATTGATGTTACTAGATTTATTATTAAACAAATTATCATAATATGCAAGTCTTTTTATTTAAAATATCTTATTTTTATAGATATTATTGGTCAAATTAGCATCTCGAAGACTGTATCGAAGTCTAAAAATGCTTATATTTTGGGACGAATGGAATATTTTATGGGACAGAGGGAGTGTGCAATTGCAACTTTTTCCAAATTGTTTAAAGTAATTTAGCAACTTAACAAAGTCAAATACATATATGCAGTTGAATATTCAGATTTAGGAATGAAAAAAGTTTCAAAAAAATATGCACATTATAGGATTATAACCTAGATAAATTTTGTCTCAATCAGAATACAAGTACTTGTTTTCATAAAAGTTTATTTGTTTATGAGCTTGCTGGGGTAATTTACTAATTTTCAAAATTCAAAACTATTTTTAGCATAATGCAACACTACCATGCCAACGCCGATGTCATAATTAGAATCACCCTATGTTTGAGCCAAGTTTGAACACCGAGAAAAATCAGATGAAAAAAAAAAGGAGTCATGGAGCTAGCACTTAGAACAGATATAATTTCATCAAAGAAAACCAATACAACATATAACAATATTACAATAATAATAAAAAAAATCTCCTTTTCCCAAAAAAATAAAATAAAATAAAAATCTCCCATTTGGGGCCACATGCCATCTCTCCTATATGGGCCTCATTTCTTGATCCGAAATAATCCTCATAAACCATACTAATATTTTTCCCCTTTTCCCCATACACCATTGTAATAATTATGTCAATGGATTTTCTACGTAGGCTTAATGATCAACCCATCATAATCTTCGCTAGTGTCAACGGATTATTCAAAGAAGACTGGAGAAAAAGAAATGGTGATATGAAGAAGGAAAAATCTGTGTAGCCATGCATGCGCCGTACGTCGCTCAGTACTCCTCGGAATCCGGTGCGCTGGCGCCGGGTCCCGGCGCGTCGGCGGAGCCGGACGACGACGGCGATGGAGACGGCCCTTCGGTGGAGCCGTACGACGAGGGCCCTTCGGCGGGGCCGGCGGCGCCGGACGGCGACGGCCCTTCGGCGGGGCCAGAGGCGGCGCCGGACGACGACGGCCCTTCGGCGGGGCCAGAGGCGGCGCCGTACGACGACGGTCCAGATGCAGGGCCGCCGGCGGTGGGGCCGCCGGCGGGGCTGCCGGCGGGGCTGCCGGAGGGGCTGCCGGAGGGGCTGCTGGAGGGGCTGCCGGAGGGGCTGCTGGAGGGGCTGCTGGATGGGCTGCTGGATGGGCTGCCGGAGGAGCCGCCGTAGCCGGTGTCGTCGGATGGGCTCGGGCCCGGCGCGCTGGCGGCGGAGCCTGAGCCGGAGCCGACGTCGGAGTCGGACTCGGAAGGCGCCGGCGCGGCGGCGGCGCTGCTGGATTCATAGCCATAGCCGCCGCCGCCGCCGCCGGTGGCGGGCGGGAGGGCGACGTCGGCGGACATGGAGCCGGAGGCCTCGGTGATGAGGTCGAGCGTGACGCGGAGGAGCTTCTCGAACTCGAGGCTCTTGGTGACGACGGCGTTCTTGATCTCGCTGATGGGGGCGTCCTTGCAGGTGTCCTCGCAGGTGGAGGAGCCGCCGAGCGTGGCGGAGAGCCAGGCCTTGACCTCGAGGAACTTGGCGTCGGTGAGCTCGCGGGTGAGCGCGCTGAGGTGCGCCACCGCCTCCTCGATGTCGTCGGAGCAGCTGTCCACGCACTTGAACAGGGCGTCCTCCTTCACGCCGTTCAGCTCGTGGTGCGCGAACGCCGCCACCGCCGTGCCCACCTCCGCCGCCACGTACACCGACAGCTCCGCCAGCCGCCGCGCGTTCGCCGTCCGGCTCTCCGGGTTCGTCGTCAGCGCCTGGATGCACACCTTGGGGAACAGCGTCCGGTTGCACGCGTCCTGGAGGTTGTCCGCCGCGCCGGCGAGCGGCGCCACCGAGACGAGGACGGCGAGGAACACGGCGGCAAGCTGGGAGCGAGCCATCGCCATGGTCGTCTTCGTGTCGCGGTGGACCGGATCGAGCTCGGGAGAGATCTCTCTCGCTTTTTGTGTTGTAGTGGTTGAGGCAGAAATGGGGAGGGGTTGGATGGGGTTTTATACTACGCTTCTCACCGCTGCATGCATATGGTGTCCATGAGTGGTCAGGGACTTGTTCTTTCCCTGCCCTGCATTAGCATGGGCTGACCTTGGTTTTAGGAGAGGGGAGTGTGCCCTGTGTGACAAATGTTGCATTTCTATCTTCCTGTCTCGTTTTGGTGTTTACTTTTAGTTCCATTTGTTTTTTTTTCAAAAAAAGGTAATTGTATTTGTTTTGGTCACAAATATAAGATCATTGGTGTCCTCTCTATTATATATACCATCGATCGTCACCACTTATAAACAAGATGTAAACAGTGATTTGCAGTAGAAATTACAGCGCGTCTATGGTTTCCCGTGACACCAATGCACTGGTCTATGGGTTAACTCACCAGAGTAATTTATTATTTTCATGTTTATGTTGTGAATAAAAATGTAAGCATTCGTATTGAAAATACTCTCTCCGTGCAGAAATGTACAACATTTGAGGAACTATACAACCAATTTTCTTCTTACTTTACCGGTGATGTATAAAAGAACAATGGTACAAATTTTTTTATGAAATATCTCCCTTCTATAATAGTTTGTTTTTATTTTCATATGCATATACCATGAAATATATGGGCGATCAATATATCAAAACCATGTATTGGCATAGTACCCATGTCCAGGGCATCCTACTTTCAAAAAAAAAAAGGATGGACCACTATTCAGTATTACCCCGAGCCATATCCTATATCCTATAGTCGATGGTTTTGTGCATCTTCATAGGTTACATTTCCAATTAAATATAACAAGCAAAAATCAGACCAAAGGCAACCATGGGACTTGTGTGACAAATGTTGCATTTGGTGTTTAGTGTTGCATTTGTTTTGGTTGCAGATCTGTGTCACCGGGTTAATCCCTTGGGGCAATTATTTTTCCTGTATGTTGCTGTTGTTGTGAAAAAAAAATATAAGTAGAGAACCGATATTGAAAATACTGCTAACACAGAAATGTACTCCGTTTACTTTTTAAATTTAATCAAGTTTATTAAAAATTAAATATAACACCAATTTTGTATTATTAAATCGAGCATTGGATAGATTTTAATAATATATTTGTTTTATCTTAAAAATGTTACCATTTTTTATGAACTTATTCAAACTTAAAAAGAAAGTCAAAATACTTTATAGTATGAAATGAAGGGAGTATACTAATTGGGATACCATGAACCCAGTTTTCCTCTTAATTTTGACCCTATTAATTTTTCATGAAAAGTTTCATTGATATAGTAGTTGTCTTCTTTTTCATATCCATATTTTGTAAAAGAAATATAGTGGTCAATCTGTCAAAATCGTGTACTGTACACATGTCACTCCAGAACATCCTACTTTCTAAAAAAAGATGGAGTACGCTTAAGTGGATTCTAATCTCTCGAGGGAATACCCCATCGTGTATATTTTTCTTCAAATTTAATGCAAATGGTTGTTAAGAAATCTAAAAAACCCAACACGGTAGAGTATAGTAAAGAGTATAGTAATGTCTTATCACTCCACCAAAATCATGCATCTTACTCAATATGTACGTTGAAAAAAAAGGAGACAAATTCGGGATGAATTGTACTATCTAATTTTCATATGTTGAATTTTCCTTTTTATTTTTCAATATGTGATTTGTGTTTAGAATTAAGATTTTCTGGAGATATCTATATCGTATGAATGCTTCCTTTTTAGTTTTGTGTGTGAGTCTTACAAGAAAAAGTCCAAGATGTGAGCTCTTCTCCTCCGAAAGCTAATTTGCTGACAATATAGCTAACTAAGCCCATGCCTATTTTGCAAGAAGAGGGAGAAGAAGACGACGACCAAAAAAGTCAAGCATGGAACAGAAGCTTGCGTGTGATAGTTTTACACTTTAATGGGAAGTAAAAAGTTCGAATTACCCCAAAAACTACTATATGGCCAGTACGAATTTATCCTATGAACAACAAAACTAGACATCCTTCACTCTCAACTTTTCATACCGACAAATTATCCTCTGACTCGCTCTGGAGCGGTTTTGGTCCTACGTGGCGCACACGTGACAGTCCAGTTAGCATAAAAAAATTAATAAGTGATGGGCCCACATGTCAATACTGGTTTTTTTATTTTCTAAAATGTTTAAATCCACAGATCAAAACTAACATGTGGACCACTGTTTTTTATTTTTTTTATGCTAATTGAATTGCCACATGTGTGCAACGTAGGACCAAAACCGCTCCAGAGTGAGGGAAGTAATTCGTCTGGTATGAAAAGCTAAGGATGAAGAATGTCTAGTTTTGTGATTTAGGGGGTAATTCGTACTGTCCCTATAGTTTAGGGGTGTAATTCCGACTTTTTCCTAGTGGGAATGGGAACTTATAAAACATATAAAATGATTCTGTAAAAGTAAATCTGAAAGCACCTCACCCTATCACAAATATGGATGTATACACAATTGTGTTCGATTTCACATTATTTCCTTTTTTTTATTCAATGTGCGGATATCAAAACTTTAAAACCTCCCAAAATATCCATCCTACCTCCTCCCGCACACAGATACACATAGAAACAAGAAAGCCAGGCTGTGCTCAAGATCCTGTGCTCTCTCCAATGGAACCTGAGTCCTCCCTCCACAAGGTAACCTAAGGATCGGAAGCTTAGATTGTACTCAATTTCTTCCTGCTATAATTATCACAAACTCATATGACCATCTTGGTGTTTTGGCGTTGAAGGTTGTTGTTCCTTTAGATCTAAACTATCCGAGGATTTGTTCCCACTGCCAAACCAGCAAAACATCGGTATGGCGCAACGGCCCCTTTGGCCCCAAGGTAAAGAATAGATCTATAAATCATCTAGATATAGCACCTATATGTTGCTCAGAGCTTGTTGATTTGAGGCCAATTCTTTTTTTAATTACGATATGTTTATGTAGTCTTTGTGCAATGCTTGTGGGATCCGATATCACAGAAAGGGAATTGATGCTCTTGAGTTAGAAGGTAAGAGGAGCAAAGACAAGAAGAGGAAGACGAGTAGAAACGAGGTTCCACTCCGGAGGGGATTGAGGAAAAATAATAAGAATGCAAAGGAGGTAGATTTTGGAGTGAGGATGATGATGGAGGGATGCCAATCAGAACCGATGCTAACACAGGGCCAACAATACGAAGATGATGTGAAGAAGGCTGCTATCCAACTAATGTACCTTTCAAGGGCCGCAAACACTTAATCAAGCACAAGCAATAGAGCTCTCTATGTTGTTCTCTATTTTGTATGAAACTTGTCATAATCAAATCAGAAAAGTGATAATGCAGTATTTAATTTGACTGACTACTAAATTGATATTCCAAATTATGTATCTTGCTTGTAGTTAAAACAAAGAGTAATAGTCTAAGAGATGATAGCTGATACTTTCAACTATTTCTGAATAATTTATTTCAATAGTTTACCCCTAAGAGAATGCTACATGATTATGTTTTATTTTTGAATAATATGTTACTATTATTATGCTCCACCGCTCACATCTTTTATGCAGAATTTGCACTGAGGAAAGATTTGGCTATAACATTTTGTGACTGCTATTTTCCTGCATTTGAACTGAACGTTCTTATTTAGTTTTAATTCTGATGTTATAAAAGTTCTTGCATTTGATATTTTTTCTCCTTCCCTTTGATGCTACAAATTTACTGATCACAAACGATTGAAACATAAAAACCTTCTCTGTTGTTTTCCATTTTCTATTACAATTACTGATTATGCTAAATGATATTTCTAATATTTGGTGGCAGTCATAATGTTTTTATATATCCCGAAGCTGTTTGGTCATTTTTTATAGTATCTGGTGTTGGGGAAGTATGTGGGTTGCACTCCTATTAAATTTCACTTGAGATGTTCCAAGAGTATAAAATTGGATTCATTTTTGCCAAGGACAACCTTTGCCACAAGTCTGGAGAAGATTTTGTGAAGCATCTGTTTTGTGTTATTTCTAATATATATATCTTTGGCAAAAGAGTATTATGAAATAGAGTGCTCTACAAATATTTATAAAGGCATTCATATAAGATGTTGGTCCACAAACTGCACATGTTTTTTATGCAATCAAACCACACCTTGCTTTTATTTTTGTTGTTCTCCTGCACTTCCGGTCTTTCCACAGTGTAAATCTTGTTACACACATATTTGCTTGCTGCTATTTATTGTCAGATATTAACAAAAAAAGGAACTTGGTAATTAGTCTCCATTTTTTTGTTATTGCGCCTTAGATCAATACCAAAAACTTCATAATGTTTGGGACATAAGAAGCTGAATAGTTTCCCTTATATGCTGAAGTGCAGTGCATAGCTCTCTTTTTTAATAGAATCAATTCAGTCTACTTCCCTCAAATGCAAATCCCCTTAATTACTAATAATTGGCTCCATGCCAGCCGGGTGAGTTGGTACCTTGTCATTTTATATCTTTTTTACATTTAAAAGGATGATCTCAAAATGAACTATCCAAGTAAGGTGATCTTGATAAATAAACATACAACTATAAGTAGTGTCACATTAACGGTACCAAGGCTCTATTCTCAAATCCAAGGATTGTCTGATCTTATCAATGGCACGTAAAACAAGACAAGTAATTAATGTGTGATTAATTGATTATTACTAATATAAACTTTAAAAATGGATTTATTTGATTTCTTAAGGGAAAATTCGATATTGGAAGTTTTGGGGAAAACATGTCATTCAGCATTTCAGGAAGCGAGCATTCTATAAAAAAGGTAGGTCTCTATAAAAGCATAACCGAACTCAGACTAAGTGTTGTCAGCTAAGTATATGTTTTATGGCGTGGAAGTAAATTAAGAGAAAGAGAAGAAGGTTGTCTTCTCCATACGAGACAAGCGTGTGTTATCAGCCATGATTCAATTGATTGGCTTTTGGTTGTTGCAGTTCCACCTCTATCTATATACGTGTCCTAGAATATATGCAAGTGAAAGAACTTTTGGTATCCATGTCATTTTTTGTAAAAGGAGCTCTAAGCCTTGGACACTTCTAAATATAAAGTAAATCCGCCTATATCAAAAAAGGCACTGGTCTTTTGCTATTTTATTGCTCCCTCACCAACCAAGTCAAACTCTTCCACACCCCCACCCCTCAACCATCCGGTGCAGGGGGTATAGCTTTGAATAGGGGTGTACCCTATTTATTCTACACCCCAACTGGCTATTAAATGTAAAGTCTATATATATACATTGTTGATCTCTTTAAAGGATGTGACTAGGTAGTGCACGGTAGTGTGTTAGTACTAACCAGAGACCACTGCATCCCATATATAAATCCCATTTAGTCTATGGTGTGTGTCTTTTTTTAACCTCTTAAATGATATCTTTTAAATCACATATTATTTTTAAGATCTATTTGCATCATTGTACTCTACTCAAAATATGTGACAAAACAAGATCCATGTTTGAATATATTTAAAAAATTTATTAATTTCAAAGTAATTTATTTAAATTGTAGAAGTAACTTAGATATGCAATATAAGTAACTCTCTATAATACTAGAAGTAATTACATTATGACTGAGTTGAAGTAAGAAACTATGTGGAGTAAATAAATTCACAAGCAAAGTATAGAGAAGATTTTCAAGTAAATACATTTATGAAATTAATTTAACAAAGTCTAAAATTATTTTACATAAATCATAAAAGTAACTTAGCACAAAATGGAAATAAATTGTTACAACATTAGTCCGTTGCAGGGATAAAAATATGAGTATATCTATAAATTAAATTTAATCAGCACAAATTATGGAATTGACTAAAAACAATAATAAAAGTAATCAACTCAGAGCATTATGAATGTATAAGAAATAATTTAATCAATCTAAAATTAATTTATATTTTTTTAGATAATGGAATATCATTCCGGCCTTTGCTCAAAGAACTATAACCAATTATTTCAAAACATCGCCCAAAAGCGTTCACAGAACAACGAGTTCACAACCATACTGTAACCAAACATTAAGCAAGCACACGCTAATGAAAACCAACACAAGATAAAGAAAACATAATTATTGGATCCTATTTGTGAATCTTCACCCATGTTGGCAAAGGGTTGCATGACCGTTGACTCAAGTTTATGGCATGCATTATTCATTAGCATTATGTCCTTATCAGACCTTTGTAGTTGAGCCCAACATCGGAGTCAATACGTAATAAAAGTAACTTAAAAATATAATAAAAGTAATTATAAACATAAATATTTTTTATCATAATATAATCATGTAAGATCTTGTTATAAAGATTTAATTGTAACGAACTCAATGATGTAATTGGATTGTAGATCAGATAAGTAATGTAAGAGAAATTTTTTTATAAGAAGGAAAAAATATATATGACATAATAGCAAACATGGCATGCATGTGTAGCAAAGAAGACATGTATGTGGTGTCTCCCATTAAAACTAAATAGAGAGCTCTCTCGATTTAGATTTTACCCTCTCTAAAACATGATTAAATATCAAGCTAGTTGAGAGCTTACCTCTTACTAACAGACTCGCCAAATAGGATATTGTAATTCTTTTTTCTCCTCTAAGATATAACCAACAGTTGCACAATTGGATTCTGATATACCCAATTAACCCATAGTGAGCATGCTCTGTTTCTCTTTGTGCATACACATATTCAATCGTCCCGATCATTTCTTCCACAGAAAAAGGCACCAAATATTCATTAAGCGCATTATTTACACCAACGTTTGGCACTGTGCAATGTGGCTATATCAATCGGAATATATATTAGGTATATGGACATAGTTCGAGACGGAATTTGATTTGCTGAAAAATCAGACCTTTTGGACACAATAGTTCCATTCTGAAACTTCCGGTTATGAATCGGACCTTTTGGCTGATTTAGGTACTCTTTGTTTAGACTTAGGCTTATTGGTTTAGACTTTTCAATCAATGGCTTATCTGAACATTAAGTCGATGGATTTAATGTTTTAAGTTTAGTGGTGAAGTCATAGATCTACCTCACATAAGTAAAAAAAAATGCTTTTATAACCTAGCTTTTGGCTTAGGCCCTCTTTGTTTAGGCTTAGGCTTATTGGCCTAGACTTTTAAGTCAGCTTATTGGCTTATATGATTTATAAGCCGGTGGATTTAATGTCCTAAGTTTAGTAGTTGAGTCATACATCTACCTCACATAAGCCAAAAAAGCTTCTCCAACCTAGCTTTTGGCTTAATAGTGTTAGAGTGGCTTATGGCTTCAAAAAAAGCCAAACGGAAAAGCTGCTTGTTTGTTTAGGCTTAGACTTTTCGACTTATAAGTTGGCTTATAAGCTTAAACAAAGAGGCCCTTAGTGTTAGAGTGGCTTATGGCTTCAAAAAAGCCAAACGAAAAAACTGATTGTTTGTTTAGAGACTTTTTGGCTTATAAGCCTAAACAAATATGGCCTTATTTTAATCAAACAGATAGAAAGCGCACGCTTCTTCAGTATAGGAACTTCTGGTCCAAGTCAGTTTGTGACTTTTGAAAAGGATTTGAGTTGATTTTATGTTATATTTGAGTCCAATTGAAGGGTTTTGACCCCTGCCATTAATATAGGGGGACAATGGCTGTTTGAAACGTCACCTAGTTAACACAATCAACCTATAAATTTTACCTTTTTTGTTTATGTGAAAGTCCATTTTTTATCCTCAAATACAAAACTAGTTATTTCACCCATGTCTTTCAAAATCGGATACATATTTTCTAAAGAACATTTGTATGGTGGTTTTGATTGACATGATAGTGATTTTTTTGCTAGCATGAACTTTGTGAACCAAATTAAATGACATTGCATCAGGAACATAAAAGTATGAAATAGGAAAATCATCTCCATTTCAAACAAAACCAATGACAAACATGTATAGGTTCTGTAGCTTAGGGTAAAAAATGAAGTGTAAATTGCACTGACAGTACAGAAACTTGTGAAGTGGGTGCAACCCGATACACAAAAGCTTGCAAAACGCTTATTTCGATGCACAAACTTATTTGGTGCATGAGAACCTTCAAATGAGCATGCCCTAGTTAATCCTACTACCTACTTAGTTGTGTTTATTAGGATGTCATACAGGCACACATCAGGATGATGTCATCTTGACATGTATATATGTGCTCAACCAAATATATAATAAGAGATACCGATTATACGGACATAATATGAAATATAGCTAAAGAATGCAATGAATTGAAAACAAAGAAATAACAAAAATAAATACTCCGTTTCTAAATATTTGACACAGTTGTCTTTTTAGCACATGTTTGACCGTTCGTCTTATTTAAAAACTTTTGTGAAATATGTAAAACTATATGTATACATATAAGTATATTTAACAATGAATAAAATGATAGGAAAAGAATTAATAATTACTTAAATTTTTTTGAATAACACGA